AAATTTATGCTTATTCTATGTTAAATTTGACATATTTTTAATTTTCTTATTTGAGAACATACTTTTATTCTCATAAAAAGTTGAAGACATCGTTCAAATAGACATTCATAAACACATACTAAATACATAGGAAAACAAACTACACACTTAACTGAATCAACGGCTTTATGGAAGTCACACAATGCATTTAATTATGTACTTAAGCTATATTGATGAAATAGATGATAAAATTGGGATTATTGAGTACTTATTAAATAAAAAAACTAATTCTCTTCATTACGCACCATTAGCTATTTATTGTGGTCCCTTTTAGTAGCTTATATTACCTTAAATTATCGTAAATATTTTAAAGGCACTCTTCACTCATATAACCGCCAAAACCATTTCATATTATTTTGAATAATTAACCAATTTATTAGTTTCGTTATGCATTTCTTTCTTTATGTATGTTTTGTACAGATTATATAAGATGGTAATTGATTTTGAAGATGCTTCTATCATATATTGATTCCTGTTGAGCAAATAAAACGATAAGTTTAAATTATCATTTTGAATTAGAAATGAAATTAAACTTCTTCTGTTGCATAATTACATGGACATTGCAAATTAAAATATCAAATGGTTATAAAGTCTTTTGAATTTAGGAAAATAAAAATAGTGATCATTATGATTATAAATTATATGAAATATACATCTTTATTATTGAATAATTTGTATATCACACATATTTGCTTATATATAGTAAACTTTTATATACATGTACATTTATTGTGATTTATGATGACTTAAAATATAATCGATGATAAATAACTGGCTAGCCTTGAATATAAAATAATTATCACACCTTTTAACATGTATTTAAGGGTAAAGTTTATCCCATTAACATCAAACAAATAATTGAACCTTTAAATATTAAGATATCAAGATAAGACCTTCAACATGAGAAAACACAATTTGATTTTAGTCACTTCAAACTTTGCCATGGGGCAATTTCAATTAGGATTTCAATTAGATTCAATCAGTTGTAAACGGTTGTTTTTATAAACAAATTCCTAGTGGAATTTTTACTTATAGCCAGTTCCCATATAAAACCTGTCAGTCAATTTAGTTGGTTTTATCTATTCTCTTCAACATTATCATATGAATATTATGTCGTGTACTTAAACACTGTTCTCTACTTGTTGCTTGTGATAGTGCTTCAATCATGCTTATGTGAATTATACATAAATTAAGACAATATACATGTATATATTATGATCTTAAATATAAAATGAAGCCAAGATTGTGAATAACAATTATTAACTATTTAAAAACCTGTCTGCAACGGACAATATTACTTTGAAACATTAATACATACATGCAATAATATTTGCAAACATTTTGTACAAATACGTGGATATAACAATTTAGTTATTTTAGTAACAATCTTAAACAATATAACTTAAATACCTGTAATTTAGTAATAAATAGAAATATTCATTTATAAGATAAAACATATAGAATATTTAAAATATAGCTACTTACCATTGCAGTGTGTGACGTCATTAGCAAAAGTACCATGGAATCGATTAGGACTAAGTATATCTAAAACAGAAAATGGCGTCGGTCTCTTTATAGGTTGTGGTGAATGTTGAACTGGATCTCGAATTAATGGTGGTATATCATTTTTTGATTGTTCAATATCATTATTATTTTCATTATTTGATTGCTCATCTCTACTTTCAACACAAATACTTGTTTCACTATCACTTTCATAACAATCTCGTCCTACTAACTTATCGTCTGCTACTGTGTCACGCGCTTCCATTTCTGCCATTGCCTTCAAACTTTTGCCTCTAATACATAACATCAAAGATTTTTAACGTCTTATGCATCCTAGTTTTCTGTTGTCATTGTTGAAAAATAAGGTGAAATGTTATAATAGCTCTTCTTTCAACATCACACCAAATCATTACAAGAAAATAATCCAAATAAGGCATTTGATGGCGCACTCTAATTGGTCAGCAAATTAATTGATAGAGATGGAGGCGGGGCTTCCCGTTAGATTTATTTCATTTAAGTGAAATATTTCTTAACGGTCTTTTATAAATAACATGATTTCACTAATAACTCTTAAGTACATTCATTTTCGTGGTTTTTATAAAAGGAGAAAAGTTTCCATTGGTAAGAGTTGAAGGAAAATCAACAATAAATAAATTGAGTTGGTTTCAAGTGTACTTCACTCGCACTAAGTCTACTTTCAGTTAAAAACAACAAAATGACAATTTTGCAGTAATTTAGAGTTTCTTACAACATTGATGTGGTCATTGCAGTTTTCTATTATCAATTAATAATAAAATAGCAGATCACACAAAAGCAAATATCCCTACTTAAATCATGACTCTATTCATATATTGGATATTTTATCTTCTATAATTGTCTGTGTTAGGGTGTATCGAGACTTATTCAAATAAATCAGGGATGGAAAAGAAGTGCTTATTTTGTAATTAATCTCTTACAAAGTAAAAAAATCTCAGTTAAATAATCAAGAAAAAATCATTGTTATTTTCAATATATTTTGCAAACTGGGCCTTATTGACATATTGATATAGTACAAGACACTCTATTGTACTCTCCAAAACGTCTATGTGTCATAACGACTTTCGGTCAAATTAGCCGAAAAGAATAGGCCATGGAATTGTTTCACAGTAGAATGACTAGCGGTTGCTTGTTTTGGTTAAAACGACTAAACGACACTTTGGCAAAATTAGTCATTGATATTTCTCATTAACATTACCAGTGAGCTGAATTTGACTAAATTATTGTGACTTCTCAATTAAAACTAAGGTCATTTTGAAAACAATTATTATAAAAATATTTTCAGATTTAAATCTTTCATTCTTGAATATTATACACCAAAATGTATGGAAGGAATGCAAATCAATCAAGTGTCAAATTTTCATTGAGAGATATAATGTGCCACATCAAAAAATATAATCATTTTTTTTTCATATGATAAGTAATTTCATATCTATCAATAGTTTTAAAGAACTTGATTTAAACAATATTTATTTCATTTAGCAGTGCAATACAAATTATAGAACGATATGAAATGACGATACAGAAACAAGCTGGTAGCTTATGTTAATCTGCTTCCCCTGTATTCACAGTTACAAATATAATATATAAAAAGTATAACGGTAACGAGGCAAGATAAATAAATATACAAAGATATATTTAAAAAAAAAAGAAAAAAAAAGAGAGAAGTTCAGTTATCGAATAGAAGCTGAAGTGCGTCGAACAGGTTCGTTGGTTAAATGTGAATCATCAGTATGAAGCATTTAAGGTTTGGGATTTGGGGTGCATATCATGTTTTATAAGGTGAAATAACTTTGATTAGTCAAAACGTTTAGTAAGATTAAAGAATTTGTGGACTGTATTAACTATAAATTCGTTTTCATCTTTACTAACATGTGTATTTCCATACAGAAGAGTTCTAATGTCCTGAAAACAGGGAGGGAGAAGTCTGATAGTAATTTGTCTAGGGTCTATGAAATTCGGGCAATATAGGAGGAAATGTTCTGAATCTTCATAGTGGTGACGACACGAACAGGATGCGTTATCGGAGATGTGCATCAAGAATCTGTGTGCGTTTAAGGGACTTTTCGAATTACGAAGTTTGATTTTTGCGGACGCCAAGGTAATAGTGGAATGGGATTGAGGAAGTGTGACAAATGTTCAGATTTTTGATGAGTTCAAACTTGAAATTAGAAAGATTTGGTGATTGTCGGATTTCGATGGGGAGAAGATTCCATTGTCTAACAACTGAGGGTAGAAACGAATGATTGAAGGATTCGGTATCCACAGAGATAGAACGGAGAGCGTCATGGTTTCGTAGTCGATATGGGTTTATGAAGGAAACCTGAGGAGGAACCAGAATACTTAGGTATTGGGGAGTAAGCCTGTGGATCATTTTATAGAAGAGGGTCAGTTGGTGAAAAAGTCGACGGTCTTGCAAACTCGAGAATCCTGATTCTTTGTACAGTAAGGAATGGGATGTGCCACGGACTAAGACGGTTATGGTCCTCAGTGCGTCTAAATTCAATTTTTCAAGTTTCAATGCATCTAAGTCACTGCAGTTGTTCCAGAGAGTATCACCATAGTCAAATATTGGTAGAATAAACTGTTTGTAGATGGTTTCTAAAGTTTTTTAAATGTCGTAAGCAAGCAATCATTTTCGATGTTTTTGACACAACTTGAGGGGAGGAGCTGTCTAGGTAATGCTGGTTTTAAATAAAAATAAATTTCATTAACACTCTGAAGTCGAATGAACCTTTTGATTAGTACACTCAATTTGAATGACCCTTTTCCCCTAATTTTCCATATACATATGTAATTACCAATGCACGTTTGTAGATTTTAAAAGACTGACACTACTAAAGGAGGTACTTGAAAGAAAGAGATCTGCTTCTTTGACGATTGTTCAATTTCTATATATCGAAGTAATTATTCATCTTTGAAAGATGATCTTTTTAATAAAGGTATACAGATGTGAATTGAGAATAGTTTTCAAATTATAAGATTCAATATTTGAACAGTGTTGTCTATTTTCCTCGTATCATATCATTATCCTAACTTCATTGAATGCTTAGATAACTTCTAATGAAGCCTACTGAACTATCAAATTAGAGGTCTTTCAGTACATCCGTGAGAATAATCCACAATTTCGTTGACGTATAGGATGTTTTCATACACGTCGATAAGATCGTTTATAATGTACATGAGTGTCGATGAGTACAGAGTTGCCTTCTCTTGGTTATGCTCACGGTGTTGGATTTACATGAAATCTTCTGTCACAATGGGCGCTAATCTGGAAAATATTATTAAACTACTACCACTATTCATTGAAACAAATTTAGAAAAACATGGCCATTATATTGAACCTTGTCCATGTTTAAGACTCCTCGTGATCGCATCAATAAGAACATAAAGCAGGCATAGAAATATACTTTGTCCATCTTAATGAAAAATAAATCACACAATCAGCTTTACTTGACAAAAGGTAGCAGTTTAGTTAAAAGAGGCGGTATTACAACAACAATAAACCCAACTTCTTTTAAAGGCCAAAATTCTTCATATAAACGAAATATAATGGTAAAGCATAATTGAAACCGTAATACATTGTCAGGAAGGAAATTAATGTTATTTTCCTCAATGGTGCCTCTCATAACTTCGGGGTATTTTCCTGGATTTACAATACATGCAAATTGCTTTTGTTAAAAGGGTGTTTAGACAGAGTGCTAATTTTTCATAATAAAAACTCAATCTGTGAAAACAAACTCAGTTTTATACCTGAAACGAAAAAGCACGTGCTTTCCTCCCGGCACCTTGTGTGATTACCTATAAAATTACACCATTTTTATTTCCAATCAACATAAGCGCGCATGCCAGAATAAGGCTTGATAAGTCAAATATTGACATAAACTAATGAAAATATGGCAATTAAACCAATGAATATTGGAATCAAATCAAAGTTTTAAATAAACGGAAGTTGTGAAACATTGTGGTCTGAAAGAGTCTTATACAATCGTGAGTTTAATAATTCTGCATTCAAGTGAAGTAGTTGTTAACAAAATTTCAACATTAAAATACTTTTATTGTGGTTAAGAAAAACACTAGTAAAGAAGTTAAGTGCGATAACACCTTTATCGACATGTGTTTGGCGACGCCCAGGTCACGTGCCCATAACTGCACGGGTTTAATACTGAAACTTCACGAATGTTATGTTTAGTTTCGCCTGTTATATGCAGGTATTGTTGATCTTACCGAAGATGGATTTTTTTTTTCAATTACCATCTTAACTGTTAACGTTAGATTTTAGACAGTCATAACGTTCGTGTGATTCGGATGCTTGTTTTAAAATGCTATTTCTTCAATCTAGATATGTGCGGAACATCCTTGTTTTCGTGGTAAATGGTCAGGACCATCATGACGGAAGATACCGATGTGAGCTAACCGGAAAGTTCCGACATTCATTTTGACGTTATTGTTTATTTATGGTTGGTATAACATGTGTTTTGAGATGCTATAACATGTGTTGTAACAATGTGTACATCTAAAATACTAGAGTCAAGTCTGTTATTTATTTCCTACTCTACAACACATGTTAAACAAATGATTTTACCCTCTCCTATCTAAATACCAATGTAACCATTTAGATCTATCCTATGATGACATTTCGCCCCAATGGTAAAAATATGTCAAACATTAACTCGCATTTTCGATATCAGGGAACAATTGAAACTTCTTGTTGTTTTTTAGAAAATAGCCTATCCGACATTGAACTTGCTATATTACGATGTATATTCTATACTATGTAATGTAATATCGAAATTTAAAAGATTCATCATCATCATCATCATCATGGCTTTGCTTCGCAAACGGTTTAGGGGGAGGTCCACGTCGACTCACAAAAATATACAGGAGTTACCTTATTCCTAAACAACGGCTATGACTATATAAATAATGTAAACCTTCACTAACAACTATAAATGTACGTGTAAACCTTTGCACGAAATGGTTAAGTAAGTAAGTAAGTAAGTAAGAGCAATCTCTATATAATATATTCTCTATATGAGCGTAAAAACCCCAATGCAGACTGTGTTAATGATGCTATAATGATTATTCAACTCGATTGTGATCATAAAAACCATGAGTAAAAGTTATAAATGAATGGATAATTGAACCCTTTTTTGTAATGAAACGGAAAATGTTAACCTTCATTCAAATAATGAATACAGCGCATTTAATTTCTTACCAATGCAGTAAGGGTGCAAT